GATCTACGATTGTTTTTTTGATCTCGTAACGGATTTATAACAACTGCAACTGAGGGAGCATTCCGACGACGGTGATAATCGGTGCGAATTTCATACTGATAATGTCTAAAGGAATGAGTTCAGTATATCCATTAACGTCTCATTAATTCCACGGAGTGCACAGCTCAGCCGATGGCTTTTATACACAAACGTAAACTCCCCTCCGCCCCCCACTCAATACATGCTCCAAATATTTTACTTTCGCTCTTCGAGCTGCTCGTTCTGTATTGTAAAAATTTGAACAAAACGAAGGGAATCATCATTTTTACAACAACGTGACGATGTTCTGGGGAACCGGTAATGAAAATGGTCAGCAAAAACTTGGAATCGTCAATATATTTCGAGCTCTATACTCAAAGTACTTATATTTTATTCTCGTGTCACGTATTTTGTTAAAAAGACATATTATTTCTTTTATTTTTTCGCGATTAGAGGAAAAGATTTTTCTATTTTGATTTGATTTTGATTTTGATTTGAGAAAAACCAATCATTATCGGTCTTTGGAAAATACTTCATACATAGGAATGTGAAATATATGCATTTATTTTACTATATACTATTATTGTATTCTGCCGGGAATATTTGCACGCATCCATGAAGAAAAATTATTGAAAAGAAAAATTGTATGTATAAAATTACCTCAAGGCCCGTTGAAATTTCCCAAAGTGCCGCACCGACATTCAAATATTATGTCGAAAGAGAAAAAGGATTTTTCCACCGATTATTTTGCAATTTGTTTGACGGTTTCTTCTTGCACGTCAGCCGGAAAACCTTACATGATATTATGATATAAACAATAAATTGAGACGTGTTCTTATAGGAAATTACTTGTCGACGACATCGCTTACGAAGTTATGAATTCCTTTCAGTCGATTTAAATAAACAAACGATTTGGCGAAAAAGTCGCTTATAACTACTGCAGCCATCGTGCGAAATCGTTTTACCCTGTCTGTGTGGACCTTTGAATTGTATAAACGCTTATATATGCATAAAAATTGACTCGTGTTTTAACGCAAAACGATTTACTGCCGGTCACATCATATTTCGCGATACAATATTTGAATAATACGAAAATATATAATAATACAATAATAATATTGTATACAAACACGCTTTAATGATTTCAAATAAATTGTATTTTATTTTTCAACTATTATGGAATTGTTTAAACTTTGTTTTTTAACGTTCTTTTCAAATGATCTTTCATACTTTTGATTATAAGATAACAACTTATCGTACTTTCCAAAGTAAAAATTTGAAAAGAGAATATTTATCTAAAAAAATGTATATATATATATATAAAAGACATTAAGGTATTTCAGTATATCAAGAATATTATCGTTTTACCGTTGATGTGTTATAACAATTTAGAATTTAGATCAGCAAAGTTCGATTTACTTATTTTTAGGCGTGCTAATATAATAATAATTAATAGGTTTACTATGGAAATATACACACAACATCTATTTACCACGTATACCACATAAATATGAGTTCAAATATAAAATTTGACGGTGTTTTTTTTTTTTTTTTTTGAAAATAACTGCTTCTTATAAGTACTTTAAGTGTTAACTTGAGGGCTAAAATGAAGTTTTTAAAACTCTTTATTGTTGATTTTATGTGCTAAATAGTAAATAAGTAAATCCCGAACCGCGGTTTTATAACAATTAACAGTTTAGATTGTTTAGAATCCAGACCGACGGAGTAGAGAAGGGTATATTAATACATTGATCGTAATAATGATCGCGAGTACAATGGATCACGATAAAAGAATCGCCCAGTTTTTACTCGCCGTGTAGCATGTTATAAGAACCTCGGTATATTATTATAATATTATCGTGTACGACGTACGTACTGTAATATGCAGCATTGTGTCTACGGGAAAATCGCATTCGAGAAACGTGCGATCCGTTAAAAAAAATGTTCGTACACAATAATAATATTCTCGGCTAGGGTACAAAATATTAAATCTATATGCATCGTAACTCGTATAAGACATCCGGGACATTTTTTTTTTTTTTTACAGTACGAGTCAAAGGGCATGTTATTAACGACGTAATAATTTACTCGGGTTGTTCGACGGGACGTGTTTAGAACGCACTTCATTATTATACACGCGCGACACGTGTTTTATTTCGAAAACGGTTGGTTCGTTTTTGCGAGCACGCCGAACTATATACACATAATATACTGAATATTTATATGCGTACGAAATTAATTGGTTTCGTCGGGTTGCCAAAGCGCGATAATGTACGGTAATATATTTTTGTTACAACTGCAGTTTTTTTTGTTGTTGTGTAAACAATTTTTGTACCAAAAACCTAGTTCCAATCAAAAACTTTGTAGAAAATGTCATTTAGTGTTGGTATAAGTGGTTTCATAACCATAGTATCCATTACCTATTCAAATATATTAAATATTGTTACGACTTGTCGTTTATAATTTATTCATATAAATTGCATTGATATGTATCTATGTGAGTAATATATTTGCTATATGCAAATAAACACACGAAAATAAAGAAAACTTTATTGACAAACGGTCAATATTATAATTCTTTTCATCAATATCGTACCTACGCATACCATTCGTTCATAACTAAAACATAGGTTAAGAATGTTCATTTATAATATTATGTATTCAATGTACAAGAAAATTGTTGTGTAAATAGAAATGTAAGGAATTTAACATTTTGCTAAATGTACAGAGTAATTCATTGAGCATATTCATTCCATTTTTATGGTTGAAATTTGCATATCTTCAAACAATGATTTTTAGAATTTGTAGTTAAAGCCGATATTTTCAAATACTTAGCTTTTTCATTTAAGGATAAGAGCACCCGCAGAAATTATAAACCGAGGGGGAGGGGGGGAAGGGCAAAGTCAAAAGTATAAGAATTTTTTTTACAACTTACAAGCAATCGTGATTTAAATATTTAAGCCATGCAAATAATAAAACAATTAATATTTAATACTTACTAAAATAGCGGGGGGGGCATGGCCTCCATCAGCACCCCTAACGAACGCGCTTGTTTAAGGAGTATCCTATGACGATATCAACTTCAGTTTTGCAAATGAGAACCTATATTAAAACCCGTGACCACTCGCACGGCATAAAAACTTACCCTAGTCAGACTTAAATTGAACATTAAATCACCATCGAGTTACTAGAGAGTCCATACTATTCAGTATCATCCGAAAATGTTTAGGCTATATTAAAATTTGTGCATAGAATCGTTTCCGTTATTGGCAACGCTCTTTATACGTATTCCACGAGTAAGCGAGTTTCGTTCTCTGTTATTATAATATTATGTAGATATGTTAAGTGGCATCGAAGTATAAAAACACAGGCGGTCCCACGAAGATATACGAGATATTTTTGTATATTACTCACAGAGATGAGGAATACAAATATTTATTTTTAATTTCAATTATTTTTTTTTAGTAAAAAAATTAACCTTTATTTTATAATTTTCGGAAAATTTTAAGATGGCCATTGTGTAAAGTTTATTTTTATTTTTTTGAAAACTTGAGTGTATCACACATTTATATCCGATGAATAGTTTTTAAGTAACAGTCGTATTAAAAATTTAATTTTTCAAATTTTTATTTTGAACACATATAACAATATAACAATATATATATATTGTCAATTTAATAACAATGATGTTGAAGTCATAACTGAACGAACTGGCTAAGTTTCGAAATTAAAGCTTAATGAAGTTCTTATATATGTTATGTTAATTTTAAAGTTTTCTTTAAAGTATACTGGCGCGTCACTGTGAGGAACGGGGATAAATCAAATTGTTTACCTAATTTTTATTCAGTAGGTATTTGGTGGGTAAAATTGTTAGACCAATCAAAAAAACTAGACAATTTAACAAGAAGTTCTATTTTAAGTTATATTGTATTTAGAACCTATACAAACTTATTATTATACAAACTGATCATATATATGTATCAACAAAAACAAAAGAAAACATAAATGATATTTTGAAGAAAAACTATTTTTGAAATTTGAGGCACGAGTTAAAATAAACCAATTGAATTAAAATTATGTTAATGTTATTTTCATGTAAATTAGAGCTAATTTAGAGGAAATCAATGGAAAAATGTAATACTAAAACATAAGGACCACCTTAATGTCAATAAATAGCAAAATACATAACAGAACTTCACTAGAAATATCATGATAATGTACAGTATATATTATGTTTACATATGACAATCATAATATATGATTTTATTAGTTTTCCTAAAAATAAATACACAAATTTCAATTGCATTCTTAAAATTAATTTTGGCCAAACAGATACATACTTTAAATAGTTTTCCCTCACAAAAACAAACATGCATAATGAACATATCACAATTAAAAATACATACATTAGCGAGAATTTTATTAAAATGTAAGAACTTATAAACTGTCCAATAATATATTAAGTATTTTTTTTTAAATATCAGAATTACAGTGTTAGTAATAAATCATTAATATAATATGCAGACATTCTTATTCTTTACCAAATTACTTTCGAATGTATTAATAACATTGGTGAAAAGATCTCTAACTATTGACTTATACTGTTATATCCTTATATATTTTATATTGTATACTATTTCCAGTGTTACTACTATTCTAATATTTTTACAAATTGACAGTAAACAAGTTGATATTTTGTTATTTTTATATTTAGCACGAGTCCCTAAATATTTAAAAAAAAAATCAAGAAACAACAGCTTCCTAAACCAAATACATTGCATCGAGGATCTACTTTTATACTTTTACAAAAGTAATTTAATATTTATTAATTATTTTAATAATTAAATTAATTGCATTAATGTATATTATTTTCTTAAATGTTACATACTAATGGTTTCTATCTAGTATGTTTCCTTACATGTACAAACAACAAAGTTTTTTTGTTTAAATCATTTTTTTACATACATCACATTAAAAAGTTACTAACGAGTATGAATCCCCGAGTGAACCAACAAATTTGATTTACGTCTAAATGATTTTTTACATACCTCACATTTGTAGGGCTTTTCTTCAATATGAATGAACTTGTGCCGCTTTAAATTAGATAATTGATTAAATGATAGTTTACAAACATCACATTTAAACGGTTTCTCTCCAGTATGAATAAACTTATGTTGCAATAAATTGGACATAGAATAAAAAGATATTCCACAAACATCGCATTTGTAAGGTTTTTCTCCAGTATGAATCCTTGTGTGTTCGGACAAAGTTGATTTATGTCTAAATGATTTTTCACATATTTCACATTTGTAGGGCTTTTCTTCTGTATGAATTAACTTATGTCTATTTAAACTGCCCGAAGTAGAAAATAATACTTCACATACCTCACATGTATATGGTTTCTCTCCCGTATGAACTCTTGTGTGTACTAACAAATTTGACTTTTGTATGAATGATTTTTTACATACCTCACATTTGTGAAGCCTTCCTTCTGTATGAATTAACTTATGTCTATTTAAACTGCTCGAACTAGTAAATGATACTTCACATATCTTACATTTAAATAGTTTTTCCCTATTATGAATTCTTGTGTGTACTAACAAATTTGATTTATGAATAAATGATTTTTTACATATCATATGTTTTGGTTTTTGATGTAATATTAATTCCATAGGATCATTTTCAATAGTAATTACACTTTCAAATTCACAACCGTCTATTAAATCAGTTTCTTTTTTTATTTCAATTGTTTGTGTATTTGGTTTTTTATTAATCTCTTCTTCAGAGGAACTCGTAAATCTAAAAAGTTTAAATATCATAATTTAAATTGAATACCTTACATTTTTCAATCAAAGTTTATGGCCAAAACATAAAAAAGTGTATCGGTTTTGTGTAGAAAATTAAATTAAATTTAAAAAATTGTTGGAAACCAGGCATAAAGTGGTAGACTATTAAGAATGTCCACCACATATATCATTCAGGTGGGCAAACAAATGCTACAATTGAATAGACAATTTAAATCGATAGACGGTGAAACTCTGGCCTATTGGACAGTGTGAAAATAGTAAATAGGTAGAAAGCTTCAAAAGATGTTCAAAATATTATAAAAAAAAATTGACTTTTGATTATCAATTATACAGTGTTATAAATCATTTAAGATTAAATTGGTTCCATTTTTTTAATTTTTTTTAAAACTATGAAAAAAGAATTTAAAGATGCTTACCGTGGGGGGCAATTTTCATTGTCAACTTTACTTCCAGNCCATAGGATCATTTTCAATAGTAATTACACTTTCAAATTCACAACCGTCTATTAAATCATATTCTTTTTTTATTTCAATTGTTGGGGGATTTGGATATTTTAGTTCTTTTAAGTTACTCGTAGATCTGAAAAGATTTAAAATCATAATTATTAGTTATCATCGTAAAAACACATTAGAGCAGTTTCAGCCCTACCATAGTCGGTAGCCTGTGAACACAGCCCCAATAGTATTTGTGTCTGGGAGTACCTCAAGGCCCAAGATTGATAAAACATCTTTATTTAACTATTGCAGACTACAGTAAAATAATCAAAATATAATATTAAATTATCAATTTATTATAATAATTGCGTACGCGAGTAAATTATTGAAAACTAAAATATTGCTGAAAATGGCTTTTGTGCAAAATCTGTTGTTATATTTTTGAAATATGACTAACTTTTAACCTAATATTGCATTGATGTTCTTGGCCTTTTTATTTTTCATCTATGGGGGCTCTTAAAAACAAAATGCTGCAGGAGCCTTTGGTGTGCCAGGTTGACAATGCATCAGAGGTATATATAATAAAATATTTTATGTGGATGCTTAATATTGTATGATGTTAATAATAGAAAAATAACAAAACTTATATTTGGTAAGTAGAAAAAAAAACATAATAATGATAGATAGTAAACTCTAACAAAATTTAATTTTTTTTTTTTTTTTTTAAAGTAATTCAAGGGTATACAAGTAAGCTCCAATATATTAATAACAGGGTATTTGACAGTGTTCTGACAAAATGAAAATGAACAAGAATTGAAGGGTACAAAATGGAAACTTATGGTTTTAATAATGGCAAAATAAAGAGGTACCTAAACCGAAAATATGAAAAGTAAAAAATAAGAAACAATACAATAAATCTTTTAAAATTTTTTAAAATTATTTATAACATTTAAATGTTAAGTTTATATAAATAGTACTAAGTATGTTAATAAAATATATTACATCTTAAAAGAATAATTTATTATTTATTAATTACAAAATGGTAAATCAATATTTAGGAATCTACCTATGAGGTACCAAAGTATTAATATTTAACATATTTTATACTTATCTTTCCTTTTTACATTTAAATATTTATCAGGTTTCGAATATATAGCATTATATTTGTTAATTATTATAGAATAAAAATAAAAATAGCAGTGTAAGACGCAAGCCTCAGATTTGGAAGAGAACAGGACAACGACTGGAATTGGAAAATGGCATCAATATCGGGACTTGAAATATCAGAACCTTAAATAAACCGGATGAATTAAAATGTATGTTGGACTATTTAAAATTACAATGTTACTATAGTAGCTCTAAAAGAAGTAAGATGACCTGGAGAAGAAAACATAAAAGAGAACAATTTTCTATAGTGATAACAGAAGCAGAAAATTCGAAAATGAAGTAGGTTTTTAATAAATGAGAGTATCCTACAGCAAATAAAAACATTTCAGATGATTAATGAACACATATGCTATATAAGGATAACAGGACATATTTTTAACATAGTAATAATCAACTGCTATGCATCAACAGAAGAAATGATAGACGAAATCAAGGAAATGTTTTATGAAGAACTAATATTCAATAATTGTATCAAATTAGTAATTAGAAACTTTAATGCAAAAGTGGAAGAAAGGAGATGTACCAACCAACCATAGGCCGAGAGTCTTCATAACAAAAGTGACGACAATGGTACATGTTTAATTATCTTCTGTATGACTAATGGATTGATATTAGGTAGCACATATTTTCCTAAGAAAAAAATTTATAAACAAACTTAGATAGCACTAAATTGAATGGTTAAGAACCAAATAAATCATATAATGATATAAAATGTTAGAAGTTACAAGGGTGCAGATGCATACTCTGATCATAATTTAATTATGGCGAAATTAATTAAGGCTATCAGAAAAAAGAAGAGTAGCCAAAATGAAATCCACAAAAAATACTTAATTTAAAAACTTAAGGACAAACAGATATAAGTGTATTACAACCAAATCACACATAATAGAATACTAAAAACAAGAATTGAGAATAACAAAGAAAACATAGAACACAGAGACGTAGAAAAAGATTCAAACAACAGTTTCAAACGAAAGATTTTAAACACCAAATTAGGATGACAAAAATCAAACAGGGAAGTTAATGTAAATAAAAACAAAGTGGCAGAAGAGTTCAAAATATATTTTGATAAATTGTTTAATAATACAACTACAGATAAGTACATAAATATACAATATAGCACAACGAAGCCACATATCAGTGGACCTTCGAGTTTAGAAGTCAATGCTGTGATTAATAAACTGAAGAATTATAAGTCACCAGGAGAAAACAACATGGTATCAGAACTAACCTAACCAGTAAAGTATGAAATATAGAAACTGATCAATTAAATTTAGGAGAAACAACAGATACCTTAAAAATGGAATACAGCAATACTATGTCCAAATTTTAAAAAAAAGTGACATGCTTGAAAAAAAAAATACCGAGGAATGTCCTTACTAGCTACTTATTACAAAATACTTTAAACAATATTTTTGAGTAGTTGGCTGTGCTGAGGAGATCGTTGGAAGATATCAATGAGGTTTCAGGATAAAAAGATCAACTACAGACCAAATTTTGATTCTCAAATAAATAATGGAAAAATATTATGAATTTAATAAAGACTTACACATGATATTCTCTAATTACAAACAGGCATATGACAGTATAAATAGAGAAGAACTATGAAAAGCCATAAGGTTTAGTATACCAAAGAAATACATCGATATAATCAAACTGTGCAATGTCAAGACAATATTTAAAGTAAAATTTCTAAGAGAGTTATCATCAAAAAATTTGAAATTAACTCTTGACTGTGATAAGGTGATACCCTATCCTCGACACTAATTAATATAAGTTTAGAGAAGTTATTAAGAGAATTAAGTCAAAGACAAAAAAAGGAGATAGTTAGTAAAGAATCGATATTAGCGTACGCAGACAATATAGTTATATTAGGTAACACCAGACAAAAAATTACACCAACTACATCTGAATTGTTGAAAACTAGTAAAAAAATGAAGCTGTGTAAATTAGGAAATTTAAAAATGTACTTCTCTAGGAGTAACAAAAATCGGCCTAACTTACAAGTTCATAATATTACATTTGAAATAGTGAGAATTTTAAATACTTAGGGATGAACATAAATAGTAAAAAATAACATGCATTGAGAAATAAGTGAAAGATTTATCAAATGGAAAACGATGCCATCATAGTATAAGTAAGCTACCAAATTCTAAATTACTATCAAGAAAGCCCGAAACTTTTCTCTATACAAGCTATCTGAGACCAATGATTACTTATGCATGTGACACTTGGTCTTAAACGAAAGGTAATAGCAGACTGACAATATTCGAAAAAATATACCTACTAAGAAACATTTTCGGCACAACATACAAGACGGAATTAGAAACATCTGAAAGAAGGAAAAATGACCAAACTGACAATAAGACAAATCCGATATTTTAATCTAGCTAAAAATTAAGAAAATGGAATGGTTTGGGCATGTATGGGGAGTCGAAAATGATATAATAAGAAAAGTACTAACGGAAACCATACATTAGAAAAGACCAATAGGTAAACGAGATGGAAAGATGCATAGAAAAGTATATTTAAATGTTTGGAAGAAATGTGTCGGTTTGCCTGGCATTGAACAGGGAAAGATGGAGATAATTGCTTGTGACAACTCAGGTCCTGCAGAAACCGCCAAGTTAAGAGGAGAAGATGATTTACATTAAATTAGTAATTAATTAATACATTAGCTCACTGTAAACTTATCGAAGAACTTTTGATGCTTTGACCAACTTCCATAATGAACAATTAATAATTTAGCTTGACTTTGTTTTATCTTTGTGACCATGAAGTAGGTGGGTATTTAAGCAAATTGTTAGAAATAGAATAGTATAATATCATTAACAATACGTACTAATACAAATTAATCATAAGTATCATAAAAGAAAAAATATAAACATAAATCTAAACTCAATATGTTGTCTACGCAATGTGATTTGCCAATATGCCATGTCCATACAGCCGGCCGGTAGTCAGTGAATTGCTTTTCGTCATCACTTACGGTTGATACCACACTTTAATTAAATGTAACCACTTTGGTAACCAGTGTGCTCTTCGATTATACTTGAATACACGGTACCTACGTCCCATAGAGTAATATTCTTGTAATCATATACTATGGCGCTGTTGACTCTAATATTTGAAGCGAATATAACTACGGGGAGTTGGGACAAATGCACACGCGCAAAAATTTTATAACACGCGCAATTGGTCGAGTTCACGTAACCGCATATGATGTCCCTATCTTCACTGTCTGGCACGAATATAGACGTAATATAATAGACATAGATATAGAGATTAACTATAGCCGTGCTGTCTATAGTGATATTATAAACGATAAATATGCGACGAGTACTGATACGCATATATGACCTAAGGAAATATTGTTCTGTGGTATATTTATAGATATTATCAATGGACATG